GCTTGGGAATGCCATCCCTTTCCTGATGCTGAGCAGGTGGGCTAATTAACCAGGATGTGCTGTTAAATGGTAATGAAGATGCAGCACGATAGCCTCCCAGCAGGGCCCAACACTGGTGATTGCTTTTCCACATGTGCCTGGAGAGAGCATCCTCATGGAGCAGCCCCAGCTGCCACTGGTGACCGAGGGCGAGCACACGAGCATCTCCCAGAGCCAGTGCTCGCTTTGGCTCGCTGCCTCTCACGGGCAGATGGGGATGGAGATTTGGGGATGTTTACCAAAAAACAATGAATCTAACTTGCGTGAAATCCCTGCAGGTTTCAGTGAGCCCAAACTCTGCTTTGATGGAGTGATGGCCATCTGAAGAAAAGGATGTGACCTCCTGACTCTCTTTTGGACAAAGGCAAGAAGGCCGTGGTGGGAAGGATAGTGTTTGGCGTGAGGGCAATGACGTATTTTGCTGAATACCAAGGAACCCTTCAGCCTTCGGGCTATATTTGTAGGGATATCTCTATTTTTAAGACATAAGCACTCAGCCTGAACAAGCAGGGAGTTAATATCCCTGACAAAAACCCCTCCTCTGGGAAAGCAGCCCTCAATTAAACCCCAGCATGCTGTCGCTGAGCAAACTGGCTCAGCATGCCGAAAACCAAGTCGTGTGCCTGTCCTCTGGTGCTCAGTCAGGGCCAGGGCACAGCTGACACCGCCTGTGAGATGCTCCCCTCTGAAAATTTGGGCTGTGCTGCCCTGTGCAGACACAATGGGCACAGCAGCGCCTGGGGACAAGGTGCTCTGAGGGGTCCTGAAGCCAAGGACGCCCCCGGGAGATGTGTCAGGGATGGCAGGCACCCCAGATCCCGAATTAGGTCAGTGGAGTTGGAACATCTGGCAATGCCGCTGCCTTTCCGCGGGGATTAGGCACAAAGTGCCGCTCAAATGCTGGGATTGAAATATCCCAGATGCGGCTCAGGGATGCTGACGGGTCTGAATATCTGGGCTCTCCCTGCAGCCATGGGGTGCGGGGGCTCCTCCAGGGGCCGGAGAGGAGGGAGCCTGCAGTCACCCATCCCGCTGCAGGGTCACCCATCCCATGCGTCCCCAGAGGACATTGCCCTTCCCTGGGGTGGCTGCAGGGTTGATCACCTATGGGGCATTGCAGCAGCGTGGGAGGAATCACAGCGGTGAACGCGAACAAACCTTCCCCAAGAAACCGGGAGAAACTGCCGGTAATGAGGCAATTATCCCAAAAGGCTTCGAGCTACCCCAGGAGCTCAGGAAACCCAGGATGAGGACATCACCAGCGGGGACACCAGCTGCGGAGGCATGTTCCTCGTTCATCTGCAAAACCAGGGACAGCTTTTTATATGCCGTATATAAGCATACAGTATCTCCACATAAGCTCGCAGAAATAAAGCCATACAGAGCAACTTGCTGTTTTGGAGAGATCGGTCTCAATTAACACTTTCATCAGCGTTAAAATCCCTTGTTTCCAAAACACGGGATGCCCTCATAAGGCAATTACATTTTCTGCATGGTTTTTATTTCTTTTCAGCACACAGAGGGACACAGCAACACCCTCAGGTGGTCCCTTCATTTTGTGATGCTCTCACCCGTGGCTGTGGATTTCAAACCAGTTTGGTTCAGGGTTTTGCCTTTTCTGCTTTTAGGAAGAACATGTTAAAGGTAAGAGCAGGTGTTAAAGAGTTTGAGGCTAATGGAAAACTTGTCGAAGAGTAATATGGATCACATGCCAGAACAACTACCAAGACAAGAGAAGAAGATGGAATAGAAAGTGGAAGCACGCCTCTTGCCAAGGCCCTCAATGAACCCTACTACTTATATGATCTCTGCATGACTTAATAAACTGACCTCCTCCCCCAGGTTTTCAGGCATCCACTGTTGACCATCTCTCTTTACAGACAGAAATATTTTAGTAACGTTTAAATCAGTGTCCTGTGTGTCTCTTCCACAATTTCCAGGAATTTCTGGGCTAGCATTGACTGTCTGCACAGCTACAGAAACGATCTTTTGTTGTACCAATATTTTGTGATCTGACATAATTTTCTGGCTGCTTCTTTCTCTGTAAGAAGCTCCCTTCTTTTATTAGTTCCTCTGTGTTTAAAACAATGTGATCTTACCTCTGGCCCTCAACATAATCCACTTATGACCCAAACAAGATGACTTTACAGAATATATTTTTAATGGAATATTTTTCTTTATTTTTCAGAGCTCAACCTCACTCTGTACGTTTGGCACCGTTCTACACAGCAGCTCATCTTCTTCACCCGAAGCAGAGGCTGCAAACAGAGCCTGAAGTTTCTCCTCCTCTGAGAGAAGGAAAAATAAGCCCTTGGCGAACCCATAAGCTGAATTTCATAAGGCAGAGGATGTTGCCACCTGCTGCTTAAATATGGGCAGACATCAGATTTCCTGGGGTTTGGGTCATATGTGGAGTTTTAAAGTGTTTTGTAGCCCAGTAAGCCTGGCTGTGGGGTGGGGAGGCAGAGGAGGGTATTACTGCATGTTCCAGGGACTAACAGCTTGTTTTTCACACTTGTAACCCAGCTGTCAGCAACTCCTCAACCATACCCCTGGCAAACAGAATGGACCGCAGAACACTCCTTTCTCTGGAGTTTCTTCCCTGTAAACGGATTTGCAGCTGAGGGGGGCTGCCACAGCCAGCAAACATCACCTGCAAAGCCTTCAGAAGAGCCTGGGCCAGTACTCAGCTGCCACTGCTTCCCTGTCTGAACCTATGTTCTGGTTACTTTCTGTAAGGTCTCCACACAGGATGGAATCATGCTGGTCCTTCTTTTCTTGGTTAGTTTTCTGGGAGTTGAATCAGCTCCATGCAGGGTCTAAAACCACCAAAGCAGCAGCAGAGAGGGAAGGAGAGGAGCTCACGCCATACCAGGTGGCAGGACACAGCCACCAAGGTGGCCCCTGCTTCCATCCCCGACAAGAAAAATATTTTTGCTTCTGCAGGGAGACCAGAATTTCTGTTTTCCACATGTAAAACTCAAAAACTCTACCATTTAGGTGACTTTAAGCTGTCCTAGCGAGGAACCAGTGGTCCGCTGGGGCTCTCATACTGCTCCAGGTAATCTTTGCCAAACCCAGAGACCAGGGCTGTTTTTTGCTGGGAAAACAGCAGCGGTATCATATAGTTTCCGAACTTTAACAACGTCTCCTCAGGCACAAATTAAATTCAAATCAGCAAAGATTCCAAAACTTCACCATCACACTTGCCTTGTGAGAACCACATGGATGAGTCAAGTCTGGAGAGAAGTGATTCAGCAGCTCCCAAAGGAGAGGAGCCAATTATTTTCCAGGTAGCTAAATGAGAAGCTCTTGAGAGCAGAAAAGGGATTCCTCTTACCCCTCAATAATCTTGATAAACTTTGGCTGCCTTGGAGACCTCTCCAGAGGACAGCCCAGAAGTAATGTATTACAGAAAGAGAACCATATTCTGGGGGCAATGAATAGATTTCTACTCGTTTTCCTATATGGATCAGCATTAGTTTTTTTTCATTATATTGCTTGAAAAATCTGGTCCCTTGGTCACCCACTCTTAAAAGCTCATTAGACAAAAACAGGATACAGCACACAGGGATTATTTGCACCTGCAGCAGCACTGCCCAGCATCCCAGTCCCCTTGCAGGTCCCACAGTGCAGCTGCGGGCACCCCTATAGTCCCAGATGCCCTCCCGCATCCTCTCCTGCTCCTGTGGGCATCCCCCAGGCAGCTCCGGTTCCTGAAGGCATTGGTATGAGCAGCTCATTGCAGGAAGAGTGACACAGCAGATGCTGGTGGCAGCAGCAGGCTGTGGTGATGGCTGGCCACCAAACCCACCAGCCACCTGGCAGAGCAAGATACTCATCAGAACACAGGATGAAAACAGAGCAGCAAACTTTTTTTTTTTTTTAACTAAAAAAATTCCCCCCCCCTAACAAGAGAGTGCAGAATGCCTGAAAAAGAATTCTGATTTTTGGCAAATTTGTACTCTTCTGGTGCAGCCCAAACTTACCATAAAAAGCCAAAGCATTTAGGAAAAGTTAAGAGGTGACAAAAGTTTTCCCAAAAGGACAAGGATGCATGTCAGAAGAGAACTCAGAACACTTCATTTCTATATGCTCTACATTTTAATTCAAATACAAATGCTACATTATAGAATATCTACGTGCCCTCATACAAAAGATCTAACAAGAACTTTAACTTCTGATTATCCTGAGTGTGTGTGAGGACAGAGAATATGAATGGGGAGAAAGAAGACAAGAATGATTAAAACAAGTTTCCTGATAAATTAAATCTCTATTTCAGAGCAAATGGTAATGCCGAAGTGCTAGCATGTCCACAGACAGTGTATGCTGAGTTTTGATGAGTCCTAAAAGCAATTTGGAATCTGCAGCTTCTGTCCTACACAGTAACTTCTGCCTTTTCTTTATATTATTCAATTTATTGAGTTAAAGTGAAACCTGAGGGAGTGGGGGGCAGATGCTGGCAGCGTTCATTCTCCTTGATGTATGAAAAGATGAAACTTTGCAACTCTGTTTACTTCAAAGGGAAAGCCTTGTCCCCTTACTGACAATCAGTGTCTTCTCTGAAGAGAGACAAGTGGAATATTTGAAATTAGTTACAAGGAGGCCTTTATACAGGCTACTGAAACCATCTTCACCTCATTGGGAAGCTCTATCTGAATAAATGGTATTTCTGATAAGCATGCCACATGTAAAAGAAAAATGAACAGCCATGTGGAGAGCTGGTGCCCTCTCCTGGGCAAGGCAGCCCTTTTGTTTTGCCAATTCAGAGCACAGCCAGGGAAACTGGATTTTGTAACAACTCCACAATGCACAGGCAAGTCTCTATACCTTAAACTAATCCTTGGGCAAATCAAAGACGTGGGTCAATCCAGTCCAGATGGCACACAGAAGGCTCAAAGGTTTCCCAAAGGCATACTTGGCTGTTTTAACTCTTTTAAAATTTCTGACACAGCAGCATATTACATCACAACATTGTTTATTATGTGACTTTTTACAATACAAACAAAAATACAGAAATGCAGTATATGAATACAGCTAAATGCGAAATGGTGATGTTTTTCTTGAGGCCATATTCCCATTTCTAGTAAAATAAAGAAAAGACTGCACACAGGTAGAAACAGGTTGGTAGTTAACTCCACAATTTTGCCTAGAAATGACCTATAAATGCGTTTTCCTGCTACTTACCATAAAATGTAAAAAGGGAGTTAAAGGAAAGTTTTACTCACTGGTTCCTACCATATGAAAGAAGCTATATTCTATTTAGGAGGGCCAATATATGGAAAAATATCTAAATTAAATGTTATTACAAAAAAATGAAGCAGTAATGAGATCCTTCTGGCTAAAGAAGTTACTAAATGAGAATAGTATATATTTAAAGAATCCAAAACATAAAAGGGTTGTTATAAAAAGCTTAGGTGCACTGTAAGCCTACAACTTTTGTTTTTTCCATGTGTACTTTTAAACAATGGAAGTGTCAAAAATAGGGTCAACTGTGTTAGACTAAATTACATTATTGTATATACTGCACTGAATGGAATTCTTGTATTATAATAATAAAGAAGCATTGTTTGCATGATTTTATGGCAATTTATCCTCACTAAAGACTGTCTAGAGTCCTTGCATTTTTTTTTAATATCCTGTAAACTGTCAAACCACCAGAACATGATTGTACAACAGTAAAATGTTTTCCTTTGCATTAAAATGACATTTTTTTTTTTTTTAAAAAAAAAAGGAAAAAAAAGGTACTTAGAGCAGTTATTTTTCCAAGTACACAACACCCTAGACAATTCAAGGCATCTCATTCTCCATCAAAATTAACAAAAATTTGTCATGCTGTTAAATCCATTACTATGGATACAACTGGTGCAAAATTGGTCAAACGGATCCAACAAACACTGATGTCCAGGCTGGCATATTGGCAACTAATACATAACTGGTGGTCAGAATGATGCATTTAAAATATCTTCCCTTTCTTCTTATTCTTTTCCAAGGTCCTAAAATGATATTAAAAAAAAGTATGTTAAATAATGCATACATGCTCTTGTTTAAAAAAAAGATTAATGTACATCTTTTAAAATACGCATTTTATAAGGCTTTACTGATTACAGTACGATGTATGGAATTTATTATGTACACAGTACTTGTACTACATGAAGTCAAGCAACGTCAATTTATCACTAGATTGCCCCTTCCAAGGACTGGGAGAATTAAACACTTTCATTCTCAAAACTTTAACTCTTCATTCCTCAGAAGTCTGATGCAATCTAGCTTTCAAACACAAACAAGATTTTTTTAAAGAGATCTAGTTATGTACGATTACAGTTTTTTTCCAGAGTAAAATCTGCTTTAGAAGCTAATAATCTTCCCAATATTTCTGATATATGCTCATTTATAACTAAAAGCAGTTCAAGATCTTTCTTGGCTTTGGAGAGACACTTCCTTAGTGGTCAACTACCATTGACTGTCATTACCACAGAAATTGCCTTTTAGCAGAAAGCTACAAAACCTTTACTGTGAACCACAGGACAAGACTCCAATTTACCTGGAAGAATTCTGTTGTTCCAAAATACGTTGCTGAGCTTCCCAGTTTGCTTTCTCATCCTCAAACTGGCGACGCTTTTCCTCTAATTCTTTGTGTTGTGCCTCCAAATTCTTTTTCATTTGCTCATGGCGTCGCTGCAGCTATAGAAAAATTTATGAACAGAGTCAGTAACCGCAGAAAAACAGCAACTTTTGGAGCTGTAGGAACAAACATCAGCAACTATACTAAGGCAAGAAAATATAGTATTTATTTTCTCTTCAGAGAGAGCAACTCTTAGATGAAAAACTCTAAGGTTATAGGTATTGCAAATAACAGAAACAAAAGGGGTATTAATCCCATAGCCTCATTTCACAGTTAACAGAAAACACCCCAAGTGCTGCCCAATTTACAAACAGGAGTTGTAAGCAGCCACATGTGGCAGACAAAAGGAAATTCAAGAATACTTTGATATTTGATGCAAGTGTTAAAAAGCAAATTGCAGAGCATTTGTGTATCAGTAATGAATAAATTAGCAGCAGCTTTCACTTTGTGTGGGGAAAAAACCTCAAAAATTTATTTCATCCAGCAGTATTAACTATATTAAGGATCTACTTTTTTATTAAGTGGACTAGTTTATTCACTAGTTAAATGAATTATTATTAGCATTATTGAAGTGAATTGTCCAGACTGCCAGAGCAGTATAAGAAGCCTCTCCTGAAGTTTGTGGGACAGACTGAAAATCAAATATGTTGTATGTGAGAATGGAGACACTGTCATGGAAAGTGAATCCTCACATTGCTGACTGGTGTATCTAAGCGTTTATAGCCTTACCTATTTGCTTCTCTGAAAGAAAAAAAAAATATCCAGATTGATATACTTTTTTCCTCTGATCCAGTACGCCTTGGCTCCTTACAATGCCTAGGCTGCCAAGCATTTCAACTACCCTTCCAAGTTTCCTCTCTTTCAAGCCAAACTTTCTTCAGGAACTTTCACAGGTCTGAACTTCTCTATTAGGCTTCTTGTGAGAAGCTGCCTTCTCAAAACTTAAAATTAACTTTTACTTAAATCTAATTCTATAATAGTCTCTTAAAAAGATCACTTCGAGAGCTGCTTGAAGCCCGTAAAACACAGTTTCACTGTGAGGACTTCACCTGGAGATGACAGAAGTTACAAGTAAATATCCGTAAAACTTATGTATGTTCAAATGACATCAAAACACTGACAGCAACATATCCCCGACTCTTTCTTAGTCTAGCAATTCTAATTTAGATGATCTATTACAGACATTATATCCAATTCCTGAAGTGTTTTTTTTTAATAGCAAAGCAAGTTATCATCACTACATTAGCTTATGTAAACCACAAAATCTCACAAACTTTTTAAAGCACATGGAAGAAAACAGGCATAAAATATTCCACAGAAGAGGGAGAAAAAGGGTGAGTAAAGTAAGAAAGTTAAGGAGTATTTTAACATACTGTGACTGTAAAAATAAAAAGAGAATGCATGTGCTACATTTTAAGTTTGGGCTTATACCATTTCAGCAAAGACAACAAGCTCAGAAAGAATACCTGAGTTGTCTTTAAACATAAAATTTAACTATGGAATCAATTCCTAGACAGAGGTTATGGAGCAAAGCCTTGGCAAAAAGTGCCATCTCAACATTTGTTCAGCCTCAAGCATATTGGGGTTTAAGACATTTTTATTACCTCAGCTTCAGAGTCCTTCAGTTTCTGAACTTTTTCTTTGACTTTCATCTCAAACACCTGTTCCATTTCCATTTCCATTTTTTTCATTTTGGCTACATGCTCCCTCCTTTCCTCCTCCATCTGTGCCAACGGGCTCCTGCCATAAATCCAGAAGAAGAAGTTAGCTAATAAAAACTTTTTTTGCTGTCTGCTACATTAGGGCATCTGTAAAAAAAAACAAGATAAAAAAGCTGAAGCATTAAGATAAATAACATTGCTGTATGCACTGCTAGCTTAAATTCAATCTGTGTTATTGTATTAACTGTTTAGTTAAGCTCTCTTCAAAAAGACATTTCACACAATATCTCTTCCTCCCCAGCAACTGATTTACACTAGATTTACATTAAGACAAACACTTGACTTTCTATCTTCAGTAGAATGTGGTCATGGCAAGACAGGAAATCAAAGTCACAAGAAAAAAAATTAGCATCTTCCAAGTGATCATCAGGCATCTTTTTCTTTCCCGTTCCAATATATACAAAAATTAATGGACATCATAAAAATTTTAAGAGCGTTGCAGACAAAAGCCCCATTTGCTCTCTAAATCTTCACTGTTCAACAGGAGCCCAAGAGTAAGTTAACATTATAACTGTGTTGGACGCTGTGGTCATACTTCTGAAGAGATAGCAACTTTGGAAGAAAAATAAAAGTTCAGGCAACTGAACATCAGTATTTCCTGGAAGTGTTAGCTGGAAGATTTGCCTTTAGAAAGCTATTTATAAACTTAATGGACAAAAATAATGTATATTACTTTTAATTCTTCTATATGCTTTATGGTAACTATTTTCCTGGATTCTACTGAACTTTTAAAGCTGTATAAGCCTGCTATCAATGTTATGGTGATCCAGGTTTTAAATAGCAAGTTTGACATTAAATATCCAATAAACCAGGATGATTTTGATCTAGTGATGATTGCTACGTACAGTCTTGTAAGACTTTTCTGCTGTTCAACAAAGAGCAATCAAAACAAATCACGGGCCTCTTGTTTCAGTTTTGAGTATGTGCGCCTTAAAATGACAAAGTTTTAACTATTGTGTTGATAAAAATGAAGAACTGAATACAATTGGAACTGTTACAATCAACCAGCAAAGGATATCTACTGTAATGTATGCAAAAGTCACTCAGACTAGCAAATTGTAAAACAAATGTGGTAAGCCTAAATCCTATAAAAAAATCATATTTTTTGTTTTCAGTTCTTAAAGACAAAACAAAAAACTCCTGATTCAAATAATGCAGAAAAAGCATTCTACAAAGAGAGGAGAATTGACTAACTTTCAGTGATGACTGAAACATTATTAGCAACATCTATTTTGATTCAGAATTTGCCGCTCGTTCTCAAAGGAAGGGAGGTTATATACCAAACACATTGAAGATCTGGTTTGACTATTAATAGCTCATTTTATTCCTCCTGCTTGCCCATTTTCACCAACTGATCACATAGTGAAAGTAATCAATGTCATATGAGCTTTTTCCTCAAATACCAGTATTTTAAAGGTGGTAATTGGTGGGAGGCTAGGAGGAAGAATATGGCATTTCCATTAAAAAAAAATAATTAAATTGAATTTGAACTAATAGTTGCAAAGCTTGAATTGGTGAGTGAAATGCTGTATAATATATGGAGCTGAAACTGATCCTCAGTCTAATGTCTACTTTAGCCCTTCAAAAGGCCAACTGCCAGCAACTTTGGTCAAGAAAAAAAATGGTTAAACAGAGGTAAAGTCCAATAATACACAAAAATAAGAAGAAAATGAAAGAAGAGGTGAGTAGCAGTACTTGTGGAAGATAACCAGCTGTCAAAACAAGACTGATTTCTTGTTGTTACATTTTAAAAGTGTAAAGTTCTCAAATGTATCTGCTCTTCAAAAATTAACCTAGGCAGTAGATATGAATACTGAGGAATCATAGCTGCCGTTTGTACAGACTTGAGAGGGGAGCAGAACTGTCCTATTTGACAACTTAATAATCTAATGGGGACATCATACAAGCTGTATTTGGGAAAGTGGTAAAAATCAGTGTGCACAGAAAATTTGATAAACTAACAAGCGAGCATTTACATCTGAGAGCTTTACAACATAGGTCACAACTGGTTTTGTTAGGTCTTAAGTATGTGACATAGGTAAAAGCACATCAACCTGTATTTCAGGATAAAACTGTAAGAGAGACCTGAACAAAAAAGAGTTGAAGGAAAAAAACCCCAAACCACTAAACAAAGATTTAAAACATTTAACTGATTTAACAGGATGTATGTTAAAACAGCCCTCCAAGTTAATCTGTAAAAATTAACAATTATTTCAGATATCTGCAAAGTGGAACCTCTGCGAGCCAGTAATAAGATAAATCTATGGTCAGAAGAGATTAAAGTAACTGATTTCCCAATCCAATGAAGAGTTGCAAATTTATAGGTAAGGATGACAATTCTGCTTATTCTTTATAAGCATCTACATAAAAATTATGAAGCTATGGATAGAAACTGGGGGAATTTCATTATTTATGCACTTCTAAGCATTGTTGAAATTTGACCAAATTTGTCTCAAGGCTTAGCCAAAATGTTTCTTAAGAGGACGGATTTTTACGGAGTTATTTGTCACTGAAAGTATTTATGAATTCCTAAAGTTTACACTAGCACAGCTTTAGAACAACAAAAAAAAACTTCTATGGAAAAAAAACAATGCCAAGAGCAGGATAACAGGAAACTGTTTTAAATTTGAAGCATTAAACAGTGAAATCCTTTTTGTGTTTATAAAATTTTTGTCTTTAAGTTTTTTGGAAAAATTTAAATGACCACTTACATGCCTTCAACTGTGTCAAATCTAAAAAACAAAAAATACAGAGGCTTAGCTTAGCATGCTTAAATAAAACCATAAAACCAAAAAGCAATAATTTAAAAAGTATATTCATTATTAATAGATACCTAAAGCTAATTATGTGCTCCCCCAAAAGCAAATTTTTCACAGTAAAAGGAAAGACTGTTAGTTAAAGCTTGTTATATTTATTTCAAATTCAGTTAGTAACCATGTCAATATTAATACAGGTTTGATGTGCAGATACTTTCAGGAATAGTTTCCCTAGAATATGTGTGCTTTTAAAGCAATTTTAAATATTTTAGTGACATGAACAACCACTTGCTCTAAATAAGTTTTTGGAAACCAATGCCATATCGAGGCTTATCTGTTCATTTAAAAATCGTCACCTACTAGAGGACACGATATTAGAACCCCAACAATGTCCCTGTGCCACAAAAGGAGCCCTTGGTGCCCTTGGCCAGCAGAGGTGTCACCAGCGGCTGCACCCAGCTCTGAGGAGGTTTGGCTGGATGTCACCTCCCCAGAGTGTGATGCTTCACCCCAGCATGCCGCGTGTTAGCACTCCACTAACAACACTACAGGAGGGATAAAAAGCTTGAAAAGAAGATTCTGATGTTAAGTCTCACCTTATAGTAAGATGTGCTTAATGTTAAAACTACTACACAGAATTCACTAAGAATATAGGCAAAAGGAGTCAGAAATTGTCTAAGCTAAGCAGTCGGAAGGACCTCTGTGCCTTTTGTTACTCTTTGTGACAGGCTATCGAATGGATCAGTAGGTGGATAAGGCTCATCTTTACAGTGCATGATATGACTGGTTTGGGCTTGTGTGGTGGGTTTTGGTAGTGGTGCAGAGGCTACAGGGGTGGCTCCTGTGAGGAGCTGCTGGAAGCTTCCCTGGCTCCAAGTCGGACCCGTCTCTAGCAAAGGCCAAGCCCATTAGCACCTCTGCGAACGACATATTTAAGAGGCGGCGGGTAGTGCGGCCCTGAGCAGGGTCTGGCCCAGCCACTCCACCCAGCTTCCGCTGTAACCCTGGCCTGGCCAACCCAGCACAGCCCCTGCCCGAGAGCTGGGAGCTCTTCAGAAGCCAGCAAAAGAACGAGAAGCAGAAAGGAGTGGGGTGTGAGAAGCAGAGAGGAGTGGGGTGTGAGAGAAACAACTATGCAGACATCAAGGTCAGTGAAGGAGAGGGAGGAGGTGCTGGAGCAGAGATTCCCCTGCAGCCTGTAGGGAAGACTGTGCCCCTGCAGCCCATGGAGCCAGAGCAGAGCTTGCCCTGAAGCCCGTGGAGGTTAACGGTGGAGCAGAGATCCACCTGTAGCCCCTGGAGAACCTCACACCAGAGCAGGTGGATGCACCCGAAGGAGCCCGTGACTCTGTGTGAGGGACCCACGCTGGAGCAGTTAGTGATGGGCTGCGGCCCATAGGCAGGACTCAGGTTGGAGAAGTTCATGAAGGACTGTCTCCCGTGGGAGGGACCCCATGCTGGAGCAGGGGAAGAACATGCCCGAGGAAGAAAAAGTGGCAGAAACAACCTGTGAAGAACTGACCACAACCCCCATTCCCCATCCCCGTGTGTTGCTGGCAGAGGGAAGGTAGAGAAATCAGCAGCAAAGCCTTTGAGCCCAGGAAGAAGGGAGGGGTGTACCTTCCCGCCGCTACAGGAAGGTGCCTTTTTAAGATGTGGTTCTCTTTCTCACTATCCTACTCTGTTTTTTATTGTTAACAAACTAAACTGTTGTGTGTTTCCCCCAAGTCGAGTCTGTTTCTTGCCCGTGACCATAAATACTGAGTGATCCCTCCCTGTCCTTGAGGTTTTGCCTTTTGTTCTGGCGGTTCTCCTCCCCATCCCACTGGGGAAGTTATGGGGGGGGAGGAGAATGCAAGCAACTACACAGTGCTTAGTTGCCAGGTAGCCTTAAACCATGATAAGGGCTTTCAATAAATAATGTTTTTAAGCTCACTTAAGGTATCAGCTTCATACAGCAAACTGAGAAGATTTCTCAAAAATTCTGAATTTCAGAGTGTCAATTTTTGCACATCATGTAGTACACCCATGAAACTAGTTACCACATAGTTTAAAGAGACAAGTTATCCATATACTTGTTATACACATACTTCTATTTATTTTCACGTCTGAATTTTTGTCCAAAGAAATATGTTAACAGTTAGAAGAAAAACAAAGATCTGTTAAGATCACAAAAATACAGCTGTTTTAAAGGTACAAAAGGTCAATCCAGTCTTCAGCAGCTGCCAGTAGGAGATACTTTTGGAAAAGTGCAAGAACCACTGCATGTACATCTCCTATTATGTGGGCCCTCCCCTTACAAAAGAGCAGCAGCGCAGGAGTTTCCAGAGCCAAAGGCTGTATTTGTGTTCAACAGTAAGCTTGTTATACCACAAGATAGCATCAGAGCATGTCTCCGTTCTCATACAGAGATATAGGATAGGTTTGCCATGAAAGAATCACATTTCCAGAGGACAAGTCAAATATTGCTCCCTTTTAAGATACAGACACTTCTTTCTGAAGGCAAGCATAAAAATCCCAAGGGGATGCACAGATAAATTGTTAGTATCTGTTGTTCCCTCTTTCAATTAACTTCCAGTAAGACGCATGTTATTAGGAAAATTCCTTCTATGCTGCTTCAACTATGCTAGATTCAAAAGTATGAAAACACACTGAAGCTACAAAAGCATGTTCAAGCTAAAAAAAAAAAAAATGCTGCAACTCAACATATGGATAAGGTAACAAGACAAGAATAGCATCAGCTGCTTAATAACCAGTAAATGCATTCCAGAATTTTATTTATTTACTTAAGTTGCCCTACGTTTGGAGGAAAAAACTCTAAGGAAAGGTTCAAAATATTTCTTACAAGTTTGCAATAGATACTGCCATCTTTCAGATGGCTGAATTAAACAAGCTGTGATAAATTATTTATTCTCTTGAAAAAAATAAAACTCTATAGCAGAGAGCACTAGTTGTATTTATTCACCTCCGAGCTGCAGTACTCTATAGTGTTCTGAGCAACAGATTTCTTAGAGAAAATTGTTCCAAAAGGCATGTTTACCTAGAAATATTCAGGTGGGACAGCAGAGTGACCTGAGATGTCAGAAGATGAAAAAACAGGCATGCTTCAGAAAGCACAGTAATTTCACACCATCTTAGCATAAGTTCTAGCTAAAAAGGAAATCTCGGCAATGCTATCAGCAACTGACTGGTGGCAGGGGAAAGGGGGTGGAATGAATGACGCAAAAACAGTTTAGAAACCGTCTGGTAGATGCATTTATACAAAAATGCATCTTGTTACATTTGCAATATAGGAATAAAAAATAAAAATAAATAAATCATTGTGTTATTCAAGAAGAACGCAGAATAACCAATCCTTACTTAAACTAGGTAACAGACTAAGTGCGTAGGTGCAGATTAACACAAATCTAGGCAGGCATAAAACAAAAAGTGGTGAAAGTGTTATCACTAAAGTGAAGATTTTTCTGAATCTAAGGAAAACAGAGTAAGATTTGGAAAAAAAAAATAGTATTAAAACAACACAAAAAAATAAAATCAAAGCAACTTCCTCTGATATCCAAAATTGCACTGAAAAAGTTTCACTTTTCAATACAATAATAGCAAATAATAGTACAGTAAAAAGTAGAGTAAGAGCAAGTTAGAAGTCCTGCAGGAAATGCAGAATTTTCTATTCTGCTCTACTATTAATACACTCTCACCTCTGCAAAAAGTTGTCTCAAGTTGCTGTGCTCAAGCACATTTTCTTCTCTGATGTGCTCACCCACACCGTTTTGTTCTCAGATGTGCAAACTACCTTACATGCCCCTCATCCCAATTTTTCCACACCAACTACCTCATTTAGTAATATTGGTTTTTAAGACCCCTCCCCTCTCTACCAACAACATCATACTGCTTTGAAGACAAGTGTAGCTTGAGAAATATTTCTAACATATATGCTATATGCATCCAGAAGCCTTGAGATGTGAGTCAGGGATAATGTGATGGCAAGAAACATGACAGTGACAAGTAACTGGTGTGTTGCGGTTACACATATTTGAAGATTATTCTTTTTAAGACTTGACCTCATACAAACTTGACCTAAATCTACATACACTTTTGAAGAATTGATATAACTGATGTATACTATTATATTTTTTGTCAATGCCGAGAAAGGAAGCCTCACTTAAATCATTCCCTCACAGCCACTTTCAAAGCATTAAGATATTGTAGAATAGACGCTCCTTCAGTGAAAAATGGCTTTGTAGCAGTTATACGGATAAGAATAGCAGATATTTCCATCTAATTTCAGAGATCTTTTTCAGGAAGAACAGTGATAAATTGGCATATCGCTCACCAAACAGAATACTACTCTATATTTTGGTTGAGAAATCTGTAGTTAAATATAGTAGAAACAAAAAAAAGTATCACTAATTACTAATTATTTAATCACTAACTATTGTTTATAAAATTGACACATGTAGAACAGGAAAAATACCTAAATTTAAAAGCATGGCTGTTTTCAAATAGCATTATAAAATGAAAAATACAGTAGAGCTGCCTTTTAAATCTTCCGATTGTTTCATCAGGTGGGCAAACTACTTGCTGTCAGGGGTAATTAAAATTACATACTAGGGTAAAAAAAAAAAAAAAGAAGGCAATAACAAAACCCAAACCCTTGCATTGCAACTTTCCTCTCACAAAAGATAAAGATGTTGTAATAATTTCCCTGCCATGATAAGCAACCCTAGAAGTAGCCAGGGCAGCACTTCAGAGATGACAGTAGTGCATCTGGATTTTTAAAGTTTCTAAACAAATATTAACCCGTCTTCTCCAAAACATCCCTGACACTGACACCGAGTAGTGAGCGTTCATAGCGAGAGCCAGTAACTCCAAAAGTACTATATATACCAAAACAGAGACACTAATGCACAAAAACCTTGTGTAAGTACCAGTGAAATAAAACTTAAACAGAAATAGTAAATGTAAGGATTCTCTTCAGAGAATCTAACTAAAACCCAGTTATTTAACATGTTCCAATAAACTAGTGTAAACCTTAGTGAAATGGAAAAAACCCAAAACAAATCAGAAGTAAACCAGAAGTATACAACTCAGATCAGAACACAGTGAAGAGGCAACTGACTAGAGGATAAATACAAACAAAAACACCACCCCAAAAAACCTAAACATCCTACCACACATACACAAAGCAACCAAAAAAACACCAAAACAGAGCAAAAAGATTAAGGTGGAATACAACCTTAACAAGAACTTACTTTGTTAGCTGCCCTTTGTTTTTGTTGTTGTCAACACCATTGTATGTAACAGCTGCCAGTTTTCTGCTTCTGTAGTTCTCATAATGTACGTTGTTAGTGACATCCTTCAGGTCCTGCATATGAGTTCTGTCAATAAGTGTAATTTATCAGTTTAGTGCACAAAAACAAAATATTATGTAAAAAAATCAGTCCATGCTCATTTTGCAAATTGACTTAAATTAAATCCCTCCACTGATGTCCCATTCCTCACACCGTTGTTATTCTTGCATTTAGAGCTGTCAGGACAGCAAAGTCACAGAAATACCAGATTATTTTGCACAGAACTATCTCAAATTTGCAATATTTAAAAAAATTAACTTACAAGACTAATCTCTAGAAAATTTGAGTTCTGTGGATAAACTTGCAAGTATTTTGATAACAGATATTAGAACTGTGTACTACTACGGTAGTAGGTGCGCCAAAGCATGTCAGGCAAGAAACAACAAAACAAGCCAAAACTTCCTAGTTTCTATCTTTTAAGTCTGCAAAAGCTAAATGCAAAGTTCAAAATGTCAGTTACCGAACTGTTGTGAGTATAGGCCACTATGTACACATCAGCACTAACAGACACGTTGGGTTCCTAGGGTTTACCACAATTTTCAAGAACAAGTAACCAGAAAGTAAAGAAAACTGCCTAAAAAAACCCACCACCACTGCTTGCTAAATACGTGGTTAAACAAGATATCACAAAGTGTAAGATACTGTTTACAATTAAAAATATGGGGATTAATATGAATTCACTAGCTCAAATCCTTTTTTCTCCAATATATGACTTTCCAGTCTCTCAGACACACTAGAAAACTTGTACCTGTAAATTACTTACCTTATCAACATGTTCCTCAGGATTGTGAAGTCACAGTGTTCACCGTTTTCAACTACAGAAAGAGGTAAATTTTTGTTGAGATACCAACCAAAATATGTGCCTTACAGAGCAGAGAATAAGCTACTGCAACAGAAGCACAGTTTTGTCAGTGTAATAACCTTCATGATCCTTCGGATGCCCTGCCAGCACAGCTGTATAATTAAGGATCAGTCACTAACTGAAGACCTCAGTCTAGATCCAGCTATATCCAAAACCTTTAGAAGGCTTAACGCAAGCTATTTCTCTCTGCCCCATCAAATGAGTTGCAAAAGTCATTTTAATTTTAATATGGATTTAGTTCTTTATTAACTAAGCAAAGGAAGGTGATAGATTTAATTTGATGCACCTGCCTACAGACCAAAAGAGAGGGTTGGCAGCTGTCATTAGGTGCCACCTATTCCAGTCATGCCTGTCATCCCATTACTGTAGAAGAGGCTGACGCTGTGAATGGCATTTCCCTGATAAGATAATGAAATGACACTGGATAAAAATGCACGCACCAGAGCATTCTGGCGTGCAGACAATCACACACAAAGCTCTTAGAGCACACAAAAGAAAGGCACAAGGCAGGTTCCAATGTGCCCCTGCAGCAGAGATGGATGTTTTCATGGGAAGAAGGAAGAAAAACAGGATGAAGGAACTAAAATAACCTAGATAAGGTCAGTGAATCTTACAGAAAAATTAAGCCCATGGCCTCTTTGTGTGTTCATCTCCTATCTGTGCTCCTGCACTATTTTATTCCATGGTTTTACACAAACTGCTAAGTTCCACTCAGATAGTACATGAAGTCATGATACCAAAAAAGCATCATCTCCAAATATTCTCTCCTTAGCTAAAAGACTCAAAGCCACTTAAAGAGGTTACTTTTAGTTAGGCTAGTTCTTCCCCTCCAACCATCACACAATCACATGAGCGTGAAACATTTATAAAGTTTGTTTTAAAATAAAGAAAAGCAGCACCATTTTGTGCATTTCTAAATGCTAACACAAGAGCCTTAAACAAAGCTTGATCCTCTCTGGTGCAGCTGGTTTTTACTTTCTGCCAAACCTCATTTCCTGCCAGACACAAACTTCAAAGTGTTACAGCATTTCTCTTTAAAGCATTGGTCCATACACTGCTTGTTGGTTGGGGGTTTTTTTGTCTGTTTTACACTGCATCAAGTTTACAGTTCATTGCCCTCAGAAGGCAGTAACAGCAAGAAAAAAACCCTTCTCTTTATTCAATACATGCACACTACAAGGAAAAAGTTCAATGATCATGGAAAAACAGCTTAATAATGATTGTTTCACTCTACGGCATGGTGCAAGCCATGCCATTTGCCTACTGAAATGAGTGAACAGCACTAAAGCATGAGGAATGGTTGCCAGAAGAATATGTAATTATCTTCAAAAGTCTCTATAACAGTAGAAAGTAAGCTTTAAATGAATAATTAAAAAAAACCAACACAAACCCAAAACAACTTATTGAAAGTATTCTGTTCATTACTAGTCACCTTCCTGTTGTTACACCCCAGCAATAAAGACTCAAATGTTTTGGGGAAAAAAAAACCAAATTCTTCCAGAACCTTTACATTTAATTTCTGCTACTCAAACTGATCAAATTAACATTTATGTGAATATTCTAGAAAGAAGAATTTAAGAAATATATAGTTTTTATGTGAAGAAAATGAAAATAAGAATGCTAGCAAACAGTTGTAATCTAAGCCTCATCATTAACTGCAGTAAGCTAACTACAGCTTTTACAATTCCTCAGTGAGGTTTCAACAGTGATCTGCTCAGAAAGTTACATAAAAACCTCATTCCAAGACTGTCAAAATAACAAAATTATATATTCAATAAATTTCCAGACCAAAGCACACTCAAATTAAGCATTTTAAACATTTCAAATACATACTAACGTCTAGTAAGTTTTAAATGGATAAAAATAATGAGAAAGGCTTACCTTCCGCAACACCCCATGGGTACTGCCTTCCTCTAACTCTCTTGCCGTTGACTTCAATGATCGTATTACTACCTACCACAGCAAGAGGTAAACGGTCCTACAAGACAAAGTATTACTTTAAAACCCAAAATTTCTACTGTCAAAACATACAGAAAGCATGTCCCTGTATAAACTTGACATAAGCTAGTTTGGCGCTGTAACACTGCAATGCAGCTTATCCGAAGTGCAAGAATAGCTGTGTTTACTGACCTCTGCCTAGTTTAATTACATATATATACACACACCCCCTCTGAAACTCCTTACCCTGTTGTATTCTGTAAATCCAGTTAAGAAACAGACATTACTGTTAATCAGCAAGCCAAGCAACAGGCAAACCATCTCCTGTTTACTCAATTGCACTGTAGTTATTATCAATTCATATTGCCACTGGCTACAAGGACTGTTACTTTGACTGGATCTTGTACCAAGTTTTCAAAGGTTTGGCAAAGGACTACTTCAAGTTCTTCTTTTCAGCTGAACCAAAAATCCCTCTAGTGTAACAAGCAACAAAGGAGCCAAGAGCGGCTTCAAGTAGCTGAAAGGAGGAGTGTACAAAGCTAAGTATTTTGGACCTTTGTCCTTGCTTTTATTCTGTTCTTCTCCTTTAGGCTCAGTCCCAGAATATCTTCCATTTTTGCTTTTTGTGTTTATCTATCCTAGGGGATTCCCACAGTAACAAAATAAAATTTAAAAGCTCTTACAGGCTGTTAAAGCTACTGAAGAAACAGAAGCAAGGCTCAAGAAACATATACAAGATGGACTCCAACATAAAAGAAAAAACCAAAAACATGAATAAACAAAGAAAAAGCCTTTCAACAGCCTGACAATCGTTTTGATTTTCTTTAGTCATTCGTCTTCTTTAAGGGTTCAGTATATCAATTAGCCAGACAGCTATTAACCGTAATGGACACCCTCTGTGCCACTTCACACAGTCTCAAAGACAACTCCTGCCTCCTTCAAAGCTCAAATCAAACAAAATGCGGTAGGTTGATGAAAGTCAAATAGGGATGGAATGAAAAAAAAGTGATCTTTTAAGAGTGCATTAAATGAACGTGTGATCTAGTGCTCTCATTCTGAATTTTAGCCATTAAAGGACTTAAGTCATCTAAGTGTGTCATTCATTGCCTCTGCTGAGGAACAGTGACTCTTAGAATAGCTTTACATCTGATTTTTATCTTGTCAGCATTTTGGTGGGCTCTTCATTAATGATAAAAAGCTTTTCACTCCCTACCCTCCTCCACCCCCCAGCAAGCAGATTTTTCAAAAGAAAATTATTTACCTTTATCTTCTTAACAATCTTATTTTCTTCTTCATCATCTGTTTCTGGAAATTCATATATTTTAATTTTGTGTTCTTGGATTTCTTTCATTATCTAAAAATAAAAATGTTGTTTGGCAAATTAATACTTTGTAATAACTACTTCTTGCTGCAATCTGATTCTCCCTCTTTTTGTTTGATATGTAAGGTCCCTGCATATTAAAGTGACTAAATTACATCACAGAACTTGCACGTTTAACACCATCAGGCAATCCCAGGGATTATTACCATGACCATCTCCTTAGCCAGGAGAAGACAGGATCAGAGCCAGAGCCTCACAGCTAACAGAATGCTATCCATCAATACAGGGCAGCATAACAAATATCATTTTTCTACAACGGTGCAAACAGAGATTTACACTAATGGGAATTCTACCCGCACATGCAAAACCTAAGACAATACAGCTTAAATTCTCAGACTAGTCTTGCAATTGAGTCCCTTAAAAAAAAAGAGATTTGAATAGATAACTGCAGGCATACTTCAGCCTGCTGAGTTCCCACAATAGCTACTGCTGTCACTCCTGTTCTTTTCTGTTTCTAGCTCACCTGAGCATCAGTTGCTTGAAGCAGGATCACCTGCCTGTTTCAATAGACCGTGTGACTGACAGACTGACTCTAGCAGTTAGTTGTGTTGAAAAATATTTGCAAGCACTAATGAAAATTTAAGAATAACTGACAGCATCATAAAAATGAGACTAGTGTTTTCATGCTCAATTTGTCTGAAGGGTATTTTTAAAAACAAGCCGATTCATTAGCCAGAATTTTAGAACGGAAAAATATTAGAACATTTAGCTGACGGCTACACTGCAGAACCCTGGGGAATATTTCTGGTTCATGGGTTTGCAATCTCACAAGAATATACGTTTCCAACTCATGCAAGGACTTATTTTCAAAGTTTGATTTGGGAAAGTCTCCCTATTTAACATCACGTCATTGATAAAGCTGCTTATATATTAAGAAATATTCTACCATTTTCCCCACCCACCAAAAAACTCCATTAAATACAACCAAAACAGACTTCAGGTCTACAGCACCTTGCTTAAGTTTCTCCAAGGCAGAAACAGTCCTTTAAATTTTAGTCTTAAGTCAAGAGTTTCGCATAAACATCTCTTAATGCCAACTTCTTTTCAGAACCTGTGCTCCTCTAAACTAGGACTGGACACAGTTCAACGAAACACGATTCATGCCTTGTCTTGTTCTGTGTCCCTCTTATCCTCCTCATACAATACAGCAAAGCCTAAATCAACTACTCTGATCGTGTAGTTGAAATAAAACATAAGCCACTTGGAGACATTAATGCCAAATTTATTCTACAAATACAAAGAAATTATATCAGTTGTATCAATGTTGTAATTATCTCACCACCTTTAAAATGCATTACCACAGACAAAGACCGAACAACAGGTATACTGATTCTCATCTAATACCTGAGGCATCTTTAATAAATATAGTGCACGAACACAAAAAGCGAATACCACAATACAATCAATAATACTGTAATACTGCTAAATACCTTTTCTTTTTTCAAACACACAACTTCTGTTAGGCACCTAAATCTTGAAAGCTCCCTTCTGCTCTTACTGATTTTTATCTCAGCAGTGAATTATTTCACTTGCCAAGAATCATACTACACTTGAAACCTCTTCCCCTGAGGACAGAAACAAGATTATTTCACCAAGAAATATAATTAAATCTAGAGATATATACATTACTTAGCTTTGCTGTCTCAAGTCGTTGCTTCAGGGTTTGAACTTTGCATGTACGAAGTCAAATCTCACCATTTCCATAAGGATCAACTTACTAAATTATCTTGTGTTATAAATACTAATCTTTCAACTCACCTGTTTTTTAAACTGTTGGCATTCTTCAGGTGTAAGTGTGTCCGCTTTGGCAATAAGTGGAATGATATTCACTTTTTCATGCAGGCGCTTCATAAACTCTATATCCAAAGGCTTAAGTCTGAAAGACAGCATTAGAACTTTGCAATTTACATTAATTAAACAAGAATGTACAAATTATTTGAGATTTGTCCTGACAACTACTCTTAAGACACTGATTTACGTCTGATAGATGCTTGAATGAAATTCAAAAGACTAACTGCAACTGCTGTAGGAAATCCCCTAGAATTTTATAATACCAGAAGAACCAGTCATAAGGTAATATCACTTGTAGTTGCAAGACTTCTGCTAGGTGAAATTACACTCATTTAAGCAAGTGGTAAGAACTCTCCTACCAGGTAGTAAAGCTCTTGTCATTAGCTGGAAGACAGTCCTATTTAAAGCCTCACGGGTAAGAGTTTACAGCTGTGAATCACACTCTCTTGACACACACAGTTTCAGTTCCTGAAAGTCACATTTATTTGTATGATTCTTCCTGAGAGTTGGCTGTGAGAATTTTTTAATACATTAGGTTGCTGAAGACAGTAAACTATGACCTGCATGAAGTAGAAATATCTTGCCTCTAAATTGCTATGTATAAAAAAAAAAACATTATGAAAGTGGATGACAGTAACACAAAAACTAAAACACCCACCATATAGTATACAAAACCATTAATGTGGACCAAAGGGGTCAGTATTTCGTGATTGCTGAAGTAAAGCCAGAGAGGTTTTGATGCATTAATGCTTCAGAATTATAGCAAGTTTAGTCAGGCTTAAAGGATTCACTTAACAGATTTAACAAGATTATTTCTCATATAAAATAAATTAGGATTAAATGGAAGGACCTACCCTGCATTTTTTTTTTCTTTATAAATTGTAACAAGCTAGCTTTTACAAATGTATTAAGTCATAAGGACACACAGAAGTTCACCTATAAATCCTTTAATTCAATGTAAATACAATTGTGCATTAAGAGTGAAGAGTACACCACCGACGGGTTATTTGTGCTGCTGTCTGCACAGGAAACATGACCGAAGACTGCACCACCACAAAAACCAGGTAGGAAGTGAGCAAAGTCCTTTCAGAGAAGACAGTCTCTTGAAAGAGGAAATCAATGCTAATAGCAGCACCAATTTTCTGTATTCCGTTAATTTCCTTAATTGGATGACAATCCCAAGCATTTACTCCAGTAACTGAAAAACACTATGCAAATCTAGCTCAACTTTATGCTTTTTTCCCTCCAGGAATAACAAGAAATACCTGTACAAGGAACATACTTTTCCAGCATTTAGCTTCACAAATTTAGCGACCAAAATTTAGTTTATTTGAAGCATGTCCTTTATTTTTCCTTACAAACAATTTGTATCTCCCACTGTTTTAGAAAGTTTTAAAAGATAAAAGGGGAGCATGGGGGTGTGGAGGGAAGACAAATGTTTAAGAATCTGAAAGTCAGCTCAAAAAAGATTGACTATCACAAGGAACGGATCATCCTCCCTTCATTTAAATGACATTTTGATTTTGCACACTAGTAAAACAGTGTACGCTAAGGATTCAAGTGTTTGCCTTTAAAACTGACATGCATGTTGAGCAAAACTGACATTACAAACATGCTCAGTGAACAACAACAACAAAATGTTTAATTAAGGCAAGTCTACTACGAAAAAACTTTTCTCCGCCCCCCAATATTTCTTTCCAAATTTGAGAAGTCTGTCTAGTTCAAAATAATTAAACCATTCCAATGCCAGCTACAGAAGCTCAGTGTAATAGCTGGCGTTTTTCACTGCCAGAGGAATATTCCTCAGAATTCCTTTGCTACTCCCTTCAACAAGTTTTACTACTTTTGACCCATACAATAGAATAAGTTACTTATCTTGTCCTCCTTCTGGTTTTGAAGGTATAACTTAAGAGTCTCTGACAAATTTAATCAGTTATAATCCAATGATAAAATGCTAAGCAACCAATTTCAAATACAGTCAATCTGCTTCTAATATACCCTGGAAATGCAGTTCTCTCTCTCTACCACTAGATAGAAGTCTGATCAAGTTAAAAACTAAACAGGGGCGGAAGACTGCACGATGACTTAAAACAATCCAGAATGCCTATATTGGAATTGCCACTAGACAAAAGATTACACGCTAGGTCAATCAAAGCATGCTAATAAGGATGCATAAAACCTCCTATCTTCAATTTATCATGAAAATCAAAGGGAGGGAGGAAGAATGGAAAGGAAAAATCCTGTCGCTTAAACTGTAAAGCAGCTTCTGCTTCCAATGTGAACAAGACATATAGATCACAAATAGACCTGGCACTTGTGAACATCTATATATTTTTAATTGTTCTACTACTAATTTTCTTGTTATGTAATTAATGTGCCATCATGTTTTCTGGTGTTTTAACTTATTACTTGTCTGGCTTGCTGATGTTTGACAAGCCAAAGTAAGCTTTGAAATTAAGCATGGTCTGCAGGCCATTAAAAAAATCCTATTTGTAACTTATTACATAACCAAGAATGCCAAATTTGAATGTTTACCTCAGATAAAAGACAGAGAGAAAGGAAGCAGAAAAAATACACTAATACAAACCCATGTCCTGAAGGAGCAATGAAGTATAAACAACACTGCACTCTATTATCTGGCATTTGACGTCTGTTCACTCGAGATTCTGCATTCAGGTAGTCCTCAAATTTACTGTCAATGTAGTCAATAACTGGCTGCCAACTGCAGAGGTTACATGAATAAAAACCTGTAAGTTATATCATTTATGTAAAAAAAGTCTGTCTTTACTCTGAAATAGATGTACACTATTTCCCCATGGCTTGCCTTTTTTTTTTTTAAAGACATTTCAGCACAGCACATTTTAAGTGACCAGCTCCTTAACAAACAGAGTTACACAGCTCTGAAGATACAATCTGTGAGTTCACTGAAAAACCCTTTCAAACACAATTACCTTCATTGTAATAGCATTAAATAGAACACTTAAGAACAGTAGCCAAAGAAACATGCTTTACTGGTCACATCTTGTGACAGAAGTCTGTTCTGCACACTGCATGTGAGGACAAACAGCTAAATGCTCCATTCAGTTTAAACGGAAAAAGCTCACAGCATTTCAATCGAGTTATAGAGGTACTTGGAACTACAGTAGTTAAGCTTTTCAGATAAGTGAAAATTTTCAAGTGTTAGTATTTCAACTGAAGACCAAAGTGTGCATTTAAGAAAAATATTACAAGGTATTACATCACACACACACACTAAATACAATTCAGAATTGTTGTGGGAGAACATACAGAGAATCTCTTACCAATTACTATTATCCACAGCATCTCCAAATCCTGGTGTGTCAACTATTGTAAGTAGTAACTGAACACCACCTTCTTTGATTAAAACTTTTGACTGCTCAACCTGTAAAATGAATAAGGTAAGATTAAATTTTTAGCAGTTTAGTCACCCATCTTAAACACTGGGAAAAGCATTCAGTGAAGAAGTCTCACAAAGAATCGCTAACTTTTCTGCTTTGCTTAAAAAAAATCACAGTAACTTGATATTCAATTATTTTTTAAAGAAAAAAAAGGGTCATAATTTAAATAAAGTCAGTAACAAAAGAACCCATCTAAGTATATAGGCTGTCTCAACATCTGAACTCCTGTCGAAACAGAAAAAACCCTAACCAACAATACTAATACCGGTGTTATAAAAAAAAAAAAGTTCTGAGAATAACCAGACATCCTGACAAAACCATGCATTATACCTGAAGAAATTGTGAACTTCAGTCACTTCAAGTAAAATTACACTTTTCAAACCTTAGACACTACATTTCTAGTCCTGTTAATGTATTTTTATACATTTATTCTTCAGCTATTATAATGCTTGGGAAAGGAATCCCAGAAAGTGATGGCTTCCTATTACAAACCGATTGCTATTGGAAAGTAACACAATCTAGCTGCAATCTGCTGAGCTAGACCTCACGTGACCATAATGTATTGGTTCCTGTTAGCTCAGGTCACTGATGGAAACCTGGCTCAGAAGGCAGCTGCACCAGCACAAGGCATGATGCAAGATGCGGGCGTGGGAATGCATGCCTCCCGTTGTGACCACCCACCTGCAGCACAACTCAGCTTGCAGTCAGCATGTTGTCGAACACATCAAGCATGTCACGACACAACAAATTTAGGCTAAAGAGCAGTTGGACTGCTACCCCCTTCTTTCTGCTAATACCACAGTAGTTATTGATAATGCCAACGTTGGGTGTACCTGCCTGAGAAAGTGCTGGACACCACCGTCCTATCAGTCAGTCTGATCCGCAGCAGCAAGAAACTACAAACTCATGCTAGCATTTCGGCTCTTCCCAATTGCTCACCCATTTAATAATAGTTTTTCTCCTGATACTAAGAACATATCTATTAACTAGCGATGCTGTTTTCTAGATACAGATTCAAGAAATCAACTGTGCGAGCCATTCATTGAGAGCCACACACGAGTTGGCAGACATCGATGCTGCCTCATTGCTCATTGCTTAATATTTCTTAAGCCTCATGAACCCTAACAGAGAAGATAAAAGAAAGTTATATTCAGCTAGGTGAACACCTGCAAGAATGTTCAGTAATGAACTTTCAGAAGGAGTAGAAACTTGGATAATAAATCCTATCTGACTTGGTCTCTTGACCAGCTCAAGATCCGAGAGAGATCGTATCAATGCTGCTTAAGGTCTTGCACATCCCCATTCTATAGGTGAAACAGACTCTCTCACAGCCACACCTGAACATTGCTGCAAACACTTTGCAACCACTGGTTATGTGATGCAACGTGATGCAATACAAGATAAATTAACACACTGCAGAAAATCAAACTTAATACCTCTTGCACAAGCAAAACATTGATTCTGAGTCAAAAGAGAACATACAGAAACACCGAAAAAAGTAACTAACTGCAAAGAAAGCTCCATATTTAACCTCTGAGTATGCAGGATGCTGTTTTTACCTGCTCATCAGTAGGGACCCTATCCAAGTCAGATCAATCACTTTCACTGCTAGGTCTCAAAAAATTAACTCAGCTACGCTATGGCTGTCTACAGCATGCAACTGTCATGAGCTGGTGGCTTACCTAACAAAAAGACAAAAACGTGTCAGTAAGGCAGCTCAATAAAACAGAAGTCCCCAACACTGGGCTACCCAGATGCTAGTCATAGAAGAATCTAGGTTGGTGTGGACTTCAAGGCCACCCTGTCAATTTCCTACTTGAGCAGGCCTTACTGCAAGCTTAGGAAGGCAAAAAAAAATTAAAACCCCCACCCAACTCACACACACCAGCCTAAGACACCACCAAGTTACCCTTTCACTACCTGTATAATTCCTATCCTTCTGAAAGTGTGCAGTCCAAAGCCGTGAGAACCTAGGAATACATGCAGTGCTTTAAAAACTTATGTTTTAATTATGTGAATGTATTTTCCCCCCCTCAATAGTTCTACAGAGAAATGTTATTGTGCACAATCAATGCCAGAAGTCAAGACAGTAATCCCCAGCCACAGAGTCAACTCAGCCAAGAGTTTACTACTCACAGGCTTTAGCACACAAGAGATTAACTCCTGATTCCTCACATTCTTTTTGCTATCTTGCATATAGTAACCACAAAGCTCTCCTATAACCAAGCTTCTCTCCAAGTATAAGAAACTCGTAACACTTTCAAAATACTAGAGATGATAATGTTATGAGCTGTACTCTTGCCAAGTGCGACAAGGTATCAGCTTTATTCTCCAGCACAAAAATTCCCAGCAAGAACTTTCATTATTAAGCACTCACAGTGGAATGCTTTTGCAAAAGGAGCAATTAATAAAGCATTATCTTGAATGTGTGTTTATAACAAAGGAAAAGGAAGGTCAGGAGATCCTCAGAAATGCCACACCAAACATTTTTCCTGGTTCTGTATGACTGTAAAATACAAGGGCGGCTGAATTTGTGAAGTCACCTTCTGAGAAATGGCCTGCAGTAACTAAATCTCTGCAGACAGTGCTAATACCTTACTGGGTGGTGAGGATTTCAATTTATTCTTACTTTTCATAAATTAATGTAGGTACCTTGCTATCAGAGCAGAGTTTTCAAAAATCTACAGAACAAGAAGTTTAGTTCAATTTAGTTCATCAAATTCCATCTCCTGTGCTTGTCCTGTGGGGAATCAGACCATATCCACCACATATTTAAAGTGGTAGACACAACTGGCAAGAGACCAGTAAGGTAAAGAACCTGCCATAAAGCCTCTGTAAAGCTGGATTTTTTCTAGCATAAATGAATGTTTCCATACATGGACAAAGGCACAGAAAGCAGCAGCATCTGGAAAAGATCCAGCAAATCACTGTAAACTAGTGTCATCCATAGTTAAGCATCCAACTGGACTCAATCATCTGATTTACAAGTATTCCCAAAGGATTCATGGAAAACATTAGTTCAAGTCTCGGAATTTGAAACTTTTTAATGAAAGTCTCCTCCAAACGGCCATTTTCCCATGCACTCCAGTCCGCTGGGTCACACGGGTCTCCTTGGCAGCTACTACACAGTATTCATGGCTTGATGCTTGTTACAGCTTGACTACTTTTAACGGATTAAGCAACCCTTTACCATATGCCATTTAAGATCACCCAATAATGATCAGATAAAGCATATTTCATACCCCATCATTTCTGAAGAAGTTTCCTTTGATTTCATCTGACATCAAATCACTTACTATTAACTGGTTTTCTGTGTTTTCCATGAAATTAATACAAAGGACCTGCCCCACAAAACAACTTCAAACTGCAATTGTTTTCAAGCCCAAACCACAGTTTCTATTTATCTGTGTGAGACTCTCTTACACAATTCCTGATCAATAAGTTATTCCCACTATGTAAGAGCAGGCAATTATTACCACCAAGATTTTAGGATGTGCTGGTGGTCTGTCTCATCTCTACTCTAGAAAACCCTTGACATCCTCAACTTAGAAAGGTTTACACTGGCAAAGAGTACAAATCTCAGTGATCCAGAGAGCAGCTGCCACTGTTAATTATTTGATTAAATAACTGACTGGAATCACCTCCACATCATACACATAGTTGCTAGCACACACAATCTTCAAGGCTGTAAGGGTGAAACAATTTTATCCTTAGATATTGACACTGAAATAAGACAGTTTCAGTGTCCATCTTAAAATGCTACACAGTGATTTTTCATCCATCACAAGAAGTAACTGAAAGCAAAGCAATGCTGTGCTACAAGTATACTCAAAAAAATACTCATTAGATAAAATAAGCAACAGTTTCTAAGGGGGAAGGTGGTCTTTAGATATATTTTATTCTAATCATACTATTTGCTGGGTCATTATACACCCCAATTCACCATGGAAAAACAGTTTTGGCTAGCTCTTGGCCACCCTCAGGCTTTAGCTCACACTGTGGAAGCAGGAAAAAATGCAATGGCTACAATAAATACCTGGGTTGTTTTTTTCCCCCCAGCTTTACATTAAAAAAAAAAAAAAAAAAAAAATCAGTGGGGCTTCCTTAAAAGTATGGGTTTTTTTCTTCAACCAGTAAATTAATAAAAATCCAACCATCTAATCTTGCCACCTAACAGATGAAAGAACCTAACTCAGATTCCAGAAGGTCCATACACACAGTTCTGGTTTAATTTTTCTCACACTGATCCACCTTTAGCCATGGTGAGACTGCTGTTATCTTTGAAAGATGCCTTGGTTTTTGTTTTTGTTTGTTTGTTTTGAGTTTGTTTGTGTAAATTTTTCCCATGATTCTTCCTAATTTAAGAAAAAAAAAATCCTACAATGACAGGGAATCCAACCCACCGTTATTTAAACTATAATTCAATGAACATAACCTGAATTAGTTTACCTTCAGCCAAACCAATGCGTAATCAACAGTAATGAAATCACTCTAAGTCCTCTTCTAATAAAAAAGAACCCACCCTTCTACTTAGTTTTCCAACACTCACTGATTATTTCATTAATAAGTATATTATACCAAAACTTAACTATTTGCACACCTTTGCCATCCCACTTAACAGGTACGTAAATTCTCTTCTCTTTGAAACAGGTACCTAAATTCAACCCTTCTAGTTCAAATAATGGACTAATGCCCCTGCTAGCAAGCTTTTAAGTTCATTTTGTCAATCACTATGGTTTCACATTAAACCAATAAAATAGCCTACAAGACATGACCAAAGCTTAGAAAAACTTAAATATATTGTTAATCCAAATCAGCATGTTCAAATGTCTTATTCCAAATAAATAAATAAAAATTCTGCAACCAATGCATTTTGTGTTAGTATTCAGGACTTTGATGTTGAGCTAACTGACAGCAATGTCATTTAACTTTCTTAGTATGAGCATAACTAACTTCTTCCTGGCCCTCTGGTAATTATTCAGTGTTCTAGATTGGATTAAAAACACCCCCTTACCCAAAAGCTCAAACAAAACCAAACCAAAAACCTCACAAAACAGTGAGATCAGTGGATCATAGCACTAGAGCACAGCTATTTGATAACACTGAATAAAAAAAGCATTCAGTTTTATAGCTTCTGTTCAGCACCTTGCATACCCTCCTAACTTGACACAAGGCTTAATCACTTTATGACTCTGTAATTGGACAGTCGCTTCAGCCACAGCTGAGGTGGAAGCAGCTGGTATTTTGCAGCTGGTATTTTGCCAAACCAAACAAACTGCTGGACAACAGCCACCAATGGTGAGCACCCTCAGTCCTCACCTGTACGAAGCTAGATTATCACAAGCTATCTTCATCAAAAATCTTAAGCAAGTGTCTGACAAGCATCATGAGAGATGAACGGAGCTCATGCATTCAGCTGCACAGCTGTGGAGGCTGAAAATACCCAGTAAAATGTAATGATTTCCTGAACTACCCATAACATTATTTCATTATTTCTTAGTATTAGGGGTTTTATTTTTCATTATTTTTTTATACTACAAAATGCATGCTCTTTTTCCCCTGAGAGAAAAATATAATTGATTAGTAGCAAATTATTACACAAAACAAATGGATCAAGTTCAGTTTTTCAGTCTTTGACTAAATATTTCAGTTGTATCATATACTTCCAGGAATATCATCTCTGTACTTATGCAGAAATCCTTTAATACACACTTTCTAAAAGCCTGCCGTAGAGGGTTTAGTGCACATCTACATATTTCTACAGACATACTCAATATTTTAATTGATAATAAAACATTCAATTTCTGAACAGGATTGCACGCCTGTGATATTTCTAAAGCACACATAGCACACAATTTTCAGGGCTCCCACACTTCAACAGGCTACAAGCTTCATAACCTGGAAGTTTTGTGTAGCTAAGGTACACCAAAAGACACACTGAATATTTCCTAGTGGTTCACATCCTGGCTAAACTTATTTGAAATATAGGTGCTTGTGGGACCACTGTATCCCCTTACATTACTAAACTTCAAGTTATGTCATTCAGGCTGCAGTTTTTTCACCAGACATACCTGTACAGTCTTTTTAATTCTGTGTGAAGGACCTGGATACTCTGGAGAATACAATTCTGTTAAGAATAATGAGTTGATTAATGTTGATTTTCCCAGACCAGATTCACCTAGAAGAAAAAAAGATCAGTTTCAGTAAAACCAGGAATATCACACTGAGTATAAACATTTAGATCTACATTTCAAATACTCTTGAAACATATTACCTGAAAACATACACTGCACTTTGAAGGCTTTAGGAATCAATCACCTTTTCCAGTTTTAAGGAAAACCTTGCAAATCCAGCTGTCACAGTGGGATTCTATAGACATTCATTTTTTCTGATCACATTAAGTACTGAATGCATTTAGTGCTTCTCTATCGCTCCTATTACAACACACAAAGATATCACCCCACATTAAAGTTTATAAACAAGCTATTTTCCCAGTATTACTTCCTACTGTGATGCCAAAGCAGATTAAGTTCTCCTTTATTTCAAGTATTGTTTGAGGGTCTTATTGTCAGAGAGGGGTAAAAAGAAAAAAAAAATTTAAAAAATAATAATAATAAAAAAGAGACAGATTATTTTGGTCTAACTCTTAAAGCCACAAAAGCTAAAATGAAGTTCCAGAACTATGTGGTTTGCCTGGGAATTTTGTTGTTGTTGGGGCAGGGAAGGAGGATTGCATTTTGTTTGGTTGGTTTTTGGCAATTTGTTCATAAGCAACAATAATTCAGTCTTGCTAATGAATCTGGAGAAACTACTACCATGACAATCCAAGCAAATACAGTTACAATTCCCACAGCAAAAATTACCCCTCATGCAGCTCTACAGAGACAGGAGCAAGAATTTCAGATCAACTACTTATTACACTATTTAAAAGACGAGTCGTTTGCTTATTTTTCTATTGTAAAGAAACTACTTCAACATGACAATTCGCGCTGGCATGAGAACTAAGGAAAAAAGTATACAAAAGTAATACTTTCTGTTTAATTTTTCATATGCAGTGCTGTTAGTATCTTGACCTAAACAGAAACAGTCACACAGAAATTTGCTCTTAAGTTAATGAATTTGGGGGCAAACTACTGGTGACACACTTTCACTGAGGGAGGAAAAGGAGCTGCACTGCCTCCACACTTTGAAAAGAAAAAACCTAACTCGCTAATCCTCCCCATCCCCAAACAAACACTGTTTGATTTAAAGACAAAACTCAAAAAGTTTCATAACTTGTCTTGAGCCACATGTCCTGGGCTAATGCAAAAACCCAGGAGTGACAAAGAAAGTAGTTACAAACCTCAGCAGACAAGACCTTGTCTCCACTGTAATAGCCAGCTCGATTTCATACCCAAGGTAGCTTATACACATCAGCCCTCTCGATTACAACGGTGTGGCTCCAAGTCTCTGCAGTACCGATCAACACAATCTGATTAGCTATGCTGTAAACAGATTAGCAGCTGATGAAATGCTGCAACCAGAGCTCCTTGCAGGCTGGCTGCGTTATTAGTAGTGCTTGTTCTCCAAATCCCACTCTGTCCGACAGATGAGCTAACCTGTGCTGCAGGCAGGGGCTGGCTCCAGCCGGGAAGACGGGCTGTGGCAGCCAAGGAACAAGGAGATACTCAAGCCATAACCTCAAGATTGCAGTGCTGGGAACACTAACCCCAAACACAACAGCTATATGCGAGCCAGAACTGACAGGTTCACTGCCAAGCATTTCATCACTACCACTGCAGATTTTGCGTTTTTCCGTGGTCAGATACATTAGACATTTCAGAACTAGGCAGTAAGTACAGTGCCTTAAAGTGTCCAGTTGTAAGGGACTCTACTTCTCCTCTGCACTTGGAAAAATCTTTAGTGCAGGGTCAGCTGCAGCTGAGTGTTCCCTACCAAGTTTGCAATAGAAAGAAGCTTCCCAAAATCCCAGCTTTCCAACCTCATAGCTGCAGACAGTTTGAAGCTTAACCTTCTCCACCTCACAACTCTGCTCAAGTTGCACGTATCATTCCAATTAAACTGAAAAGTTTGTTATCCACCCTACTGAGCCCCTCAAGAGGAGGGTTCCAATTTTGCAATGTACGATTCATATCCTTTCAGCAAACGTTGCTTTTTTAGTTTACCATAATCTTGCAAAAGGCTCTCTACTACACTGTTGAAGAAAGATTTGTGTATCAGATTCCAGTTCGATACACAAAAAGGGTTGTCCCTTCTATTACAGTTATTGCTGGTCTTAACATGCTACAGAATTTAAAGTGGAAAACACTCAGAACAAGCACTTCTCCCAAAAATCACAGTGCTTGTCAAGTTGCCATTGAAATTCAACATATGGAGAAAAGATTTTCAGCTTTGAAAGAATGTGATGGAAAACTAGCAACTCTCCCTAGATGGTTCCTGCAGCTGCAGCTCTCCATACCGAGTAGTTCCGGAACTGCTGAAGCATTACGCCTGGGTAGATTTGAGGTTTGTCACTCCTCCCCCTTCCAATAGTAAGGATGGGAGGCAGTTTAGAGCTGAAATTACTGAAAAGACAAGTATGCTAAGAATATTTATGCACCACCTTGTTGCTAAAGGTGTCCAGCCTTCTAGATACACATATCCATGCTAACTTTAACTAGCCAGTGCAGATTATAACAGTTTAAACTGCCTAACTGCTACCAGTAACTGAAGTACTACACGTGTTTGTATCAATACAGCAATCCTGGATGCAGTTGTGCCGTAGACCATCTAGCAGTCAACACCTATATGGTAGTAAAAGGCTATAATATCAAATAAAACAATTACACTGAAACCGTAAGTAAAAACCATAACTGTAACATTCAGTATTGTACTACGGGGAGTCATGCTGCTTCCACTGTAACCAAACAGGAATTTGTCTGCTTACTACAGGGGAAGCAGAATTAGAGAAACCAAGTGTATTTGGACAATACTAGCAGCCTTTTTGGACACATGAAAATATTCTGATCTTAGCTAGAAATACGGCAAGAAAACAAAACAAAACAAACCACCAAACCAAAACACCAAATAAAACCCTCTGTTCTTCCACGTAGAATATTGCTCAACCCAAATTCACCAGAAAGGATTCCCTACTGGAAAGGCGGGGAATGCAGCTTCCAAGGATGCAAAGGGCTATGAATATGACAAACAAAACACAAGAGAATAGGGAAAACAACTGGAACTTACTTTGCCTTAACATAAAAACAAACAAACAAAAAAAAAACCCCAAACCAAACAAACAAAAAAACAAACCCAAAAACATATCCCAAATAAAATGCATCTTCCCACTCTCAGTAAGCATTTCTGATGAGATTTTGCCCTTTCACCATTACACGAAGTGGCATAAGGGTACAGTGTAACAGAACCATTTCAGCAGTAATAACTTCCACTCAATGCATCATGACGCAGTTAGAGCCAGTGGTCTAATTTACAGCGAGTTATTTTTAGAAATAGCCTGTCTTTTCTGTTTTCAGTATGAAATGTTTTGTTTCAAACAGGAAAGAAAAAAATACTTTAACTTTGAAAGGTAATCCTGAATCCAAGAGTCTATTTTTGGTATCTAGCTACCGTTTTTACCTTGCCCTCCCTCTCCCACTACATGTTTCATATACACTTCGGACAATCTTTTGTCAGCCCTTACAGGACCAGCAAAAGTTCCAACTCCTCTCAAGTCTGCGAATTTCTAAATGGTTGTACAAATATTGAAGCTTTTCTTATACACTTGGATTAACAATTACCTGTCAACAATTAGCATCTAATTGGCCTATGGCACATAATTCAAAATTAACCTTGGATAGCAGAATTTCTTCCATGAACACTGATCAAGTACTTCCCTTTTTTCTCAACACAAATGAGACTAGCTGTAACATGAGATGGGAGACCAAAAAAAAAAAAAAAAAAAAAAAATCCAACACCCCAACACATTCATCTATTTCTTTTATATGTCAAACATATTTTGGGAGGTCAGAAAAGACCACTAGCAACCACTGGAATGGTTTGAAAACCATGGTAAATAGTCTCCAGAATAATATTAAACCAGGTAATTAAGGAGAATTAACAATCCAAAAAAGAAAGGAACAATAAAGTGCAATCCATGGGAAAGCAGTGTTCCAGAAAAGAAAAATAAGTCACTCAGGTTCTTCTCAACTGAGCTACAGAAATCTTTCACCTTCATTTCCAAATCACCCCCTGTAAACAAACCAGAAATCCTAATCTGTGATAACCAATTAGAGAATCTACCCACAGCTAAATTGCAAGTGTTAAATACATGTTTTTTTTTCAGTTCAACTTCTATCTATCAGCTCTTGTTTAAGATTTTTACTACAAAGAAACCTAAACTGCAAGCAGCTACTCCCTATGATAACAGAAGTGAATTGTTATCTCTCAATCTTAATGCTGCTGGTCTTTTCGTTGTCTGTTGTTGGGGCACATTGAGAATTGGGCATATTTCCACCTCCTCCAACTTCTTAGCCTCCACTATTCTTACTCAAATACCTACAACAGAAATGGTTAAGCAGTCCAGTCCAACCCAGTTTCCACCTTTATATATGACTCCTACTGGAGACTGCTATTCTCTTTCATGTATCACATCTCCCGATAACGCACCACACTACATCTTCCAGCTAACATATCACTCTGAAAATCCAAGATCAGCTTTCTGTTGTGATGTCCTAGTACTTCTAGGATCTTGTTTTCTAAAAATCAAAGCTCTGAACTTAAAAGCACGACTTTGATTCTTAGATTTATGACCTCATGTGAGAGTTCATGAAACACACCAGGTGATCAAGATCACTAACCAATACTGAACCTTCTCAGTGTGCTCTCTGCATGTTTTATTTCTTATCATTTAATTCAATAAGAAAGAAATTACTCTTACAGAAGTGACCAGAAGTTTTTCTATTCTTCACTAACAATTACTTGGCTATCTACCAGCCAAGCAGTATTTCACACTCATGCCCTGTGACAGCCAATTGAACCACAGGGAATGTGACCACCCACGCTATCTCTACTTAGGAATTTCAAGGTGTTTTCCCAAGCCCCAGGTGGGACTACAAGACCATCTAGGAACCTGCAAGGAAAAGACTTTTGGCAAATCACAGCATCATAAACTGGAGACTTCAGTTAAATTGCTCAATGCAGCATGCTTCATGTATTGTCACCAAGAAGGTGACCCAACCCTTCATTGCTGTATCTCTTAAGTGAGAATGGTAGGAACTGAAGATTCAGAAGGTGCAATTAACTGCTAACGAATTTGGTGAGTGAGAGAAGGAAACTCATCCCACTGGGGCTTGTAGCTTATTAGAGAAAAGCCACCATCACCTAATGTCCCAGGGTAAACAGGTTTTCTATAAATTGCATTATTTTTTTCAAAGCTTCCACTGCATTCTAAGTAGAAATCTGTATTTAGAGTTACTTGATACAATTAAAAAAAAAAAACAACAACAACCAAGCTGCAGATGCTCTACTGCTTTATCAGAATGAAGATATCCAACAACAAGTTTCTTCTCTGACGTGAGGGGGCAGAGATTTTTACTGCATTTGATAGCCCCAGTTATTACAAAGGGATCAAATTCAACAGAAAAACACTGTACTTCTCCACAACTTAGACATATAGAATGTTTACACCAAAGCATATGTTATTTTTAGCAGGTGAGCCAGTTTTTTAGTGGATTTTTTCCCTTTTATAAATTCTACTTATTGTGACAGTTTTTGCTTAAAATACAATCCCATCAGCTTGATGCTGGTGACTCAAAGAGGGGTAGAAACCTTGTCATAAGATGAAAAAATAATGTATTCTATCTTCTTTCATCCTTGTACAATTCACAGTTTTTGTGCACAACAGCACCTGCAGCTCTACGCAAATGTGCAATGGCTTTGATGGCACTGTAACACATGCTTTTTTTACTTTTTATACAGAAGGGGAGCTACATGAATATTCAAAGAGCCTGAACTACACCGAATGGTATGACAGAACCAGCTTCTTGCTGAGGGGGAATGATGCTCTGCCATGTCATTATAGATGACCACAAAAACGGAGACTACAGGATGCTTTTAATTTTAAGTCTGATTTTAGAAGCTTTCTTAAAAGTTAGTTCCTGTCTTCAGTGCTCTACAAAATACAAACCAACATTTCAATAAACATACAAGAATATCCAAATGAAACCCATCAGAAGAGCGGGAACAGCACCATGCTACACAGCTGCTCCCACATATCTACAGCTCCACGTAGGACGGAGTCATGTGAAATCTTGTAAAAAGTTCAACTTTGGATTTTATAGAAGTTTATAAAGAAAAGCAAGCCAAAGCTCCACCATTTCACAACTTGAATTTGGAGCATATAAATTATGGAAGTAACATCTGTTAGAGCCACAAAGCTGATCTGAACAAAACAGAGTAACAGAAACATCTCTCAGTGACAAATGCACTTTTGTCTATCAGCAACTGTATCAACAGCAACAAAATTTCAGCACTCAGGATACAGTAAGACAATGTAATCAAATATCTTAGAGCAAAATTTAAGTGCAATAGCTGAGAACAAGTTCTTTGCATATCATTCTTGTCACAGATGCCATTTAAGTAATTCAGAAGAATATTGCAACAGATTCTAGAAAGGATTATTCAAGTACTATTATTCCCTCTCAAAGCATCAGTTCTAGCTTTCTACAACTGACAGATTAAAATGGCCATGAAACAATGGTTTAATTTCACAGATGAGATTTTGGCTCCCAACCCACCCCTTGCACTAGATTTGATAATGCAGCACAGTGAGGCAAGAAGCGATCCAGCAAACCTGGGCATTAGGGGCTTGAGGATGTGAAAGTGAGGAAAGACAGATGAGATAAGTCAAATCTACAGGTTTCTAAAAAGAGGGAAGGGTAAATGTAAAACTTCACATTTAAAACTAAACCTCTTCTCTGCAACAAAACCACCACCACCAATTGACGAGTTAAAGAATTTGTGGCACTTCATGAAGAAAGTCACATTTGCTCTAATTACATATATAGGTTTCGCTCCCGATAAACAACATGTCTGCAAAGTAGCCATTTAAAACAGGATATGTTAATTAAACATGAAGCAAAGGAAGCAAGTTTTCATCACTTTTTTAAAAAGCACTAGGCTAACAAAACCAGGGAACCAAAATCACAAGTCTCTCCATTCTTAGTTTTTCAACATGACTGCAGATTAAACAAAACACCCCATGGCACTGATCCAGCCATATCTAGCACTAACAACAGCTGAGAAGTGATAAACCTGGGCTTCACCATCCAAGCTTGCACGGAATTACAAGTACACAACTAGCATCTGCAGCCCAGGCTCACCAAAGCTTATCTTGCTTTGTCTTCTGTATTAGTTAAAAGAAAACTCCTATGTCTGATCAAGCCGTACTCATACTGCAATGCTGTTGCAGAGACATTACAAGCAACAAGAAGTTGTCAAAACTGACCT